CCAAAAAAGAAAAGAATCTACAAATGTAAAGTATGCCGAAGGACTATTACTTAGAGGGCAAAATCTTCCATATTTTCTCAGGAAACAATATGGTCAAGCAAGGCTGTGACATATCCCAATGGCTGACGCCAACAGGAACTGAAAAGCTTTACACGGGTTCAAATGCCTGTGAAGACTTAATCGACCCTGACAGAAAACAAGAGGTTAATTTTAACTAATATAGGTCTTACCTTAATATGGTCTTGAACACTCAGTAGAAAAGTATAACCAAATGATATATAAAGTCAAGACCATATTAACAAAGCTGTATATAAATATGGGGCTCTAACAGCTGAACCCTGTGGCAGTTTCCAACTACAATGGTGACTCACTTCTGTTATGGGTCATTACAAAAACTATGGTAAAATTTATAGACCTCAACAAGAATTTTTAAATCTTTTAGCTAAAATTGTTTTTTTAATTATTAATCTTTTTACAGATAAAATTAAAAAGAAAAATTATAGGGGCCAGGGATTTAGCTCAGCGGTTCAGTGGCCTGCCTTGCAAGCACAAGGACCCGAGTTCAATCCCCGGGACAAAAAAAAAAAAAAGAAGAAAAATTATAACAAAATATCAGACTTACAGATAACCTCCATTAATAAAAAGGTCTAAGAGCCAGCAGGTTACATTCATTATTGCAGTCCCTTAAAAAGTTTCTAAACATGGCTCCTTCCCCAACCTTTTTTATTTTAGTACTTACATTCTGATTGTACATGCTCTAATTTCTTTTTTGGGGGTGGGTACTGGGGATTGAACTCAGGTCCTTGCTCTTGCAAGGCAGGCCACTGAACTGCTGAGCTAAATGCCTGGCCCATGCTCTAATTTGTTTAAAAATGTTTATTCTTGGGGGCCGGGGATTTAGCTCAGTGGTTCTGCTGCCTGCCTTGCAAGTGCAAGGACTCGAGTTCAATCTCCGTTACCAAAAAAATAAATAAAATAAATGTTTATTTTTGACTATAGGCTGCCAATCTTCAAGTGACTGTATAAATAAAATCAATACTAAATGTGCTAGATTTTCCCCCAAAATCCACCAGATTGAGACTATAAAAAGTTTATAACTGCTAAATTACAACATGATTTTTATTTAAAGCCTATTAAATTAGCTCTCTGAAGAGAGCCCCTAATTGCGGTCTTTCCTGTATCGATCCTTCTCAGCTTGAAGCAGTTGGATTGAAATTATGTCCTTTCTCCCCTAACTGCCAGTTGGAGATGCTCTTTATAGAAGTCGTTATAGACAGCTAAGTCAGATAGACACATTGTAAGTTCTTGTGACATAGGTTCCTTGGATAACTCATGGGGATAAGTGATTGTTGGGTGTACTCACCTTTCCCTAAAAATACAATTACATAAACAAAAAAAGAGGTGTACAGCTACCTCTACATGCTCAATTAGATTGTTACTTTCATTTTAAACTTTTTAGACCCACTTATGGAAAGTAAATATATAGAAAGATAAATCTACAGACATGTCCTAGACACTATTTTTGTCAAAATATCTCCCAGTGGGTCAGGGATTTAGTTCAGTGGTTCTGTTGCCTGCCTTGCAAGCGCAAGGTCCTGAGTTTGATCCCTGGTACCAAAAAAGAAAACAAAAAAAAAAAAAAAAAAAAAAAAGAAAAAGTCCTAACTAAAAGGTAAAGGGGCCAGGGTATGCTTATTTTTTAACAGAAAATGAAAAGATGTTGTAGCTATCATCCCAGAACGTACCACCATGGACCAAGATAATGGACTTGATGCAATTAGCACAATATGACATCCCTGCTGAGAGCCATGACTCCTCCTCATCTGCTACAGCCCTGGGACCTGCAAAGATCACCAAATCTGCTGCAACAACTGCTGTTTTCAAACAGAGGAGGGGGAGATGCAGAGGACAGTAATACTAATTATGCACAAAGCAGGCTATAAAGAGTTAACCCCACAATTGGCTTGTTTATAGAAGTGAGTCTGGCTGAAGCCTATGTGCCAAGGTCAGAGTAACTCACACCCAAATTCCATTCCCACAACTAAAACCTTCTAAGGAGAACAATGTTCTAATAATGACCATATATTTTGTCTATTCTGTCCCTAATTCGATAATGGTTTGTCTTGTCCTTTATAAGCCTTGTTTACATTAATTTCCATAGAAACTACACATAACCTGCCTTTATCCCAATTCACTGCCAATAAAAGTCAGTGCCTGGGACTGGCCAGCAACTTTGTTGGTTGCACCGGCACTGGTCATCCTGGAACCCTGCTTTCTCTTAGTGTATTTATTTCTCAGGCCTGTGTTGTATACTGGGCAGTGTACTAGAACCTAACTGCAGCGGTTTCTGGTATCTTGAAACATGAGGGAGGAGACAGCAAGCAGTCCCTCCTTGGGTCTGTTTGCTAGCATGCTGGTGCCAGCCAGTTTCAAGGAGAGTCAACTGTGGCTGAAGTCTGATTAAAGAAAATACACATTTGGGAGTAGTCTGCAAATAATGAGAACCTGATGAACTTTGCCAAACCCTATCATATGCTTCCTTGCTTCTTTGTGCGAGTCTATGAAAAGTGAGGAGTACTGCCAGTTCAGGGCTCTTCTGTCCACTAGAGGCAGGAGTCCTCTGGTCCCCTTCCAAATTATCTTTGTGTCTTTTGTCTTTCATCCTACACACCCACCCCGATTCTCTGGTGTGATAAACTCATAGGCTGGATCCTGCAACTATCAAATCATAATATTGAATTTCCTTGGGCTCTGTGGTATTTTAACTAATCATCAGCAAACATATTCCATCTCACCTAAAAAATTATAAATCTCTGGAGGTGATGAGCAAGGTTTCATTATGTTGTAAGTCATTGGTTTGGACCCATTTTTGGGGAAAACCAGATTCTTTTGCTCAGGGTCCCTTGAAGGCCACTGTGGTAGTAAAGGCAATCCTGCTTTTTTGTCCCCATTGAAGGCCTCACTCCCTCTTTTAACTTTGTTCACTCTTTAATGCCCAAATGTCCAGAAGAAATGTATTTACTCATTCTGGGTCCCTGGGATTCCCAGTTTTATATTTTAAAAAGAAGTCTCAGTATACTTAGGGGCGCATACCTGCTGTACCTTTCTTTTTTTTTCCTTTTCCTTTTTTTTTTTTTTTTTTTTTTTGGTACTGGGGATCAAACTTGGGACCTTGCGCTTGCAAAGCAGGTGGTGGAACCATTGAGCTAAATCCCCGGCTCACCTTTCTATTTTTTCAGTCCTTCATTTCATTAGTGAAATTGAGTCTATTCATGCATAGTTTGAAGCAGTAGGGCATGTGACAGTAAAGAAGAAAACAAACTTACTTTTCATCAAAATTATAAACTGGAAGTAGGAGGAGGCAGACAATAATCAGAAATAATATGATGTGTCAGATATTTATTTTAATGGACAAACACATTTAAAATGTAAAAGACAGAAGAGACAATTTTAAAAATGAATTCTATTGAAAACTGAAATGAAAGGAGAACTCACATGGAAGAATTGCTTTTATGCATGGAAAATTCATCCACTATAATCAGAGGCTACACATGGGGGCTACACATGAAAGTGCTCTTTTGATTACTTCCCATATTTTCAGTAAAACATGAGGCAATAAGAATTTAGGTGAGTGAACTTATCAGCAAAATATAGTAGAAAACAAATTTGGAGACCACATATGTGCTGTTATTGGTCTTAGTTAGCATGTAAATTTGCCTTAAGTCATTTTTAGCAAACAGCCCAGCTACAAAGCAAGTACAAACAAATGATAAGCAACAAATAAACTGTAGAACCCATGCCCAAATGTCGTTCATTCATTCAAAGAAACACTTCTTCTTATTCAATTCTTGGATACTTACCTAACTTAGCAGTGGTACTGTCAGGGTTAAAATGACCAAGTGGACATGGTCACTGAAAACATGGAGATTATGTTCTAACACAGGGGAACGGGCACCATCTTAGGATACCATTGTATCTGGGCTTCCTCTAAGAGGGTGCCATCCTGGAGGTAACAGCTACTGTGGCTGTGACAGTCACACATAATTATGGGCAGCGGAGCTGGCATTTCTCATATACACGTATGGACAGAGTTACAAACAGAACTTGAGAAACTTAACGAGAATGTTAAAGGAAATAGTTACTAACGGACTAGGGGCACAGCTCGGTGGCAAAGTGCTTGTCTAGTACATTAAGACTCTATGTACAACACACACACACACACACACACACAAATTATCTCTCCGTTCCCCGTGGGTCTGTGTTGGGCACAGAGCAGCTCTCTCACTACCCTAATCTAACAGACTGGTCTTTGAGATGTGTATGCATTTATGGTGCCTCACTGAGCAGAAAAGATCAGCCTGGGTTAGGATGTTCAAGTGCTACTGAGCAAGGGTTTTTCAAGGCAGGAAGAGACAATGGCGTAGGCCCACCAAACCTGTCTCCAAGTCTCCCGTCTGGAGTAAATATTTGGAGTTAGCTGAGCCAACTGACTATGGGTGGGGTGGGGGAGGGGCAACCGACAATTGGAGGGGCAGGAAAGGTGTTCCCTGGGGCCTGTGGAGGAAGAGAGAGAGGTTTTGGATCCTTCAACAAGGTACACGCCTGCATTATAGAGTTCACAGTCCTTCATGCCACATCCTCCATCCTATCAAAAGGAGCTTAGCTAAGGATCCCTGGAATTGATGCTGAAGGACGAAGTCACCAAAAATGGAAAGTGAAAGAGATCAGAGAGATCAGACTAGGATGAGGCCCAGCCAGAAAGCTAAACTTTCAGAGGTGAGAAGTAACTGCTGTTTATGTAACTGGTACAGACCTGGGGCTAATACGTCTGTCTGAGGGTCTGAATGTGAGGGAAAGCTGGCACTGATGGACACAGGCCCCAGAGCAACTGATTCATGAGAGCCATGTCAGCGATGGCCTCAGTGACAGACACTGTCTCCTTCCCGTCTTCTCTACAGAAAGCCCATGTGTTTTTGTGTGTTGCTAGGAGACTGCTTCAGACTTGGGCTCCTCTGATGGAGGCCCTGAAGCTGGGGCTAACGCCAGGACATCCGAGTGTCAGGTTGGTGACCATGTTGCTCTTGGGGATAGTTCTTCTCCCAAGCATCCACGGTCACCTGGGCCCAGGACATTACTCTTCCTATGAAATAGTGATCCCCAAGAGTCTGACAGTCAAGGGAACTGAAGACCCAGCGGAAAAGACATCTTACACGCTACTTATGCAAGGCCGGAAGCAGCGGGTTCACCTGAAGGTGAGGAGAGACTATTTTGTGCATGACTTTCCAGTCTACAGTTACCACAACGGCATCCTGGGACAAGAAATTCCTTCCATCTCACATGACTGTCACTATGAAGGCTACATAGAAGGAGTGCCGGGTTCTTTTGTTTCTGTCAACACCTGTTCAGGTCTCAGGGGCATCCTGATTAAGGAGCAAACATCCTACGTCATCGAGCCCATACTCTCTTCCAAACGGTTTGAACATGCGTTATACAGCGTGGCACAGCAAGCTCCAGTCTCCTGCAGCATCTCTCCCAGAGACAGCCAAGCGGTATCCACCAGCCAGCAGCAAGAGAGCAGGAAGCCTCACGATCTACAGGCACTGTCCTACTTGTGGTCACGCACCAAGTACGTGGAGATGTTTGTTGTGGTCAACAACCAGCGGTTCCAGATGTGGGGCAGCGACGTCAACGAGACAGTGCAGAGAGTAGTGGACGTCGTTGCTCTGGCCAACGTCTTTACTCGAGGAATAAACACAGAGGTGGTGCTGGCTGGGATGGAGATTTGGACCGAGGGGGACCTGACAGAGGTCCCAGGGGACCTGCAAGTTACACTCAGGAATTTCAATAGCTGGAGACAAGGGGAGCTCCTCCCTCGTGTGAGGCACGATGTTGCCCACATGATCGTTGGGCATCATCCTGGAGGGACCTGGGGCCAGGCATTTCTCAGTGGAGCCTGTACAAGTGGTTTTGCGGCGGCTGTCGAAGCTTTCCATCATGAAGATGCCCTCCTGTTTGCAGCGCTCATGGTCCACCAGCTGGGGCACAACCTGGGTATTCAGCACGACCACTCCGCCTGCGTTTGTAAAGGTAGGCACTTTTGCCTCATGCATGAAACTGTCACTAAAGAAAGTGGCTTCAGCAACTGCAGCTCTGACTACTTGTACCGCTTCCTTCATGAACACAAAGGGGCCTGCCTATTTAACAAGCCACGGTGCAAAAGCCGCGGGCGCAGGGACGCCAATTGTGGAAATGGTGAGGTGGAGGCTCCGGAGGAGTGTGACTGTGGTTCTGCTTGTGACGGTGACCCATGCTGTGAACCAACGTGTAAATTGAAGGAGAATGCACAGTGTAGTCGTGGACTCTGTTGTTCCAAATGTAAAATGCTAATGAGGGGTCATGTGTGCCGTCAATCTATAGGACCATGTGATCTCCCAGAGTACTGTGATGGCGTTTCTGCAAAATGCCCTGCAGACAGTTATATGCAAGATGGCACTCCGTGCCACGAACAATTCTTCTGTTTGAAAGCTCAGTGCACAGACCCTAGTATTCAATGCAAAAATTTTTTTGGGTTTGGTTCAATATCTGCCCCAGAAGAATGTTACACTTCATTTAACAGCAAAGGGGACCTATTTGGAAGCTGTGGTCATTCTGGTAATCCGGTCACGTATGTTAGTTGTTCAGCAGACAACATAAAGTGTGGAAATCTTGTATGTACAGGAGTTAGTTTACTGCCTCTAATCAAGCCTCTATCTGCATTGATCCAGCGTCCTCATGAAAACAACTGGTGCTGGAGCACGGGTACCTTTCAGCCTGATAGCTCCAGTGCACAAAATGTATTGTATGGCACACCTTGTGCTAATAACAAAGCCTGTGTGCAAGCTGAATGTACTGATTTCACCCTTGACACAGTCAACTGCAGTGATTCAGAAATGTGTAATGAGAATGGAGTTTGCAACAATTTAGGGAACTGCCATTGTCAAGATGGTTTTGCTCCCCCTGACTGCAAAACAGAAGGAAGTGGGGGTAGTTTAGACAGTGGCCCCCCTGATAAACCATCTTTTGTAAATCCACCAACTAAAGCAATTGAAGAAGAATCGGCTTCAAAGTTACCATTAATTGCCCTTATACTTTTGGGACTACTACTACTAGTTTTAATTATTTGTGTCTGCTGTTGTAAGCGTCGTGCTGCAGCAGCAGCTCCTCTAGAAAAGACTGCAGAAGAGGCTGAAGTGGAGGAGGAAGAAGAAGAGGAAGAAGAGGAGGAGGAAGAGGAAGAGGAGGAAGAGGAAGAGGAGGAAGAGGAAGAGGATGAAGATTAGTGTGCTAAGTGTTAGAAAGGCAAAGCCAAATATATCAAACTCCTCAAGCACTGGCTAGGAATGAAAAGCTCAGGGAAGCAAAAGTTAAGTAGGAATTGATGGTTCCAGTGGCCCTGATTAGGACTCTATAGTCTAAACCTGTACTACTGTGGGAAGAAAATTCCTCCATCTTTATTACTCATTTTAGTAAATAAGTGCTTATTTACTTAATATATTAAATATTTTACTACTTTTTTTCACATTTTATTTGAACTAATTATATGTATCTTTGGATGTTAATGTCCTTGTGTCTTTGGGCCTATTTTTTTTCAGTCACCAGAAACTGTTTTATCAGGACATGCTATCTTCCATGTACTTGTCTAATATGTAGTAGTATTTGATCCTGAATTTATTACTATCTATGAGATTTTCATTTCTTATGACAACAGCCTATTTTACAAGGACAATTGTTCATGTGACTGATTATTCTAACTGGTTTATTAAGCGTGCATTCATTGAGTGAGGAGTTTTTAAATCCAAAAATAAAAGTGTATTCAATTTAGATATATTTTCAGGTTCTCTGTAGTGTAATTATTGAGTCCATGTCGTTTTGCAGGCATGTAGGAGATGTATATCTGATAAGGAATAGGATTCTAACTGCCTCTGGGTTGAAAAGCTAGCACTGAAGGAATACACCATTCCAAATCTGATAGATATGTAATATGATGTAACATGCATATTCAATTTACTGCTTCCCAGTATTTCTAAGTGCTCTGTATGCCATATTCCATTTTTACCTAAAACAGTTTTTCTTTCATGAAAGCTGCCATAGCCCTCTCCTTTGCTAGTTACCTATTGGGGAATTTCACACTCCTCTCATATCTCAAGGCCAATGAACACTGTCTAGAGTTAGGTAACTGGGCCTATACTAATTTTGTAATAGTGTAGGGTGCCTACCAGAGTAATGAAAGTATATATAAAATTTAAAGTTTATTTAAATTAATAACTTGTTCACTGATGCTCAGAAAGAACCTTTTCAGTATAAGTAACAGAGTTCTAGAGGTGGCAGTTACTTCTCAGGGAAGAGGGCATGAGGCAAAAATAATATTAGCATTTATTGTGTTAGTTTTTCTGTGTTAATCTTTTTCAGGATTGGGGAATACAGCTCAGTGGTGGAGCTCTTGCCTAGAATACTGAAGTCTGGGTTTGATATCCACTGCTACAAAAAACAAAACTTCCTAATTTCCCAATGAAACTTCCATCATGTACATGACGAAACAGAGATCAAACAGTGTGCTCTCAAGCTAGACAATAAATAAGTGGCATAACCAGGATTCTTCCCCAAGTATGACTGAATTTATACTCTCCCTTCCTCATGAGATTTTTCTTTTAGTAAAAAAGGAAAGGCATTTGATATAGCTTTAATTGCTTAGAACAGTGGTGGCAAACCTATGGCATTTGTATTACTGTGTTTTTCTTTTAGGACAAAAGATGTTAATGTGTAAGTTGTTTTTTTCTAAACTAAAATATCACTATTCAGGTTTAACAGCAGTGTTGGCACTTTGCAATATAAGTAAGTGGGTGTGGGGTTACAATTTGGCACTTGGTCTCTAAAGGTTTGTCATCACTGGCCTAGAACATGGCTTTTTTCTCAGTGACTACTGAAACAGAAGCCTTAGAAGTGTACGTTGATCTTTTTCAAGAACTTATTGAATTGTGCAGTCATTAAGATAAAGAGTCTTTCCTCCTACTAAACCTGATAGCATGGAGTGGTAATCTGGTATCATCATTTGGTTCTGTGGGTCTAACTTACTGTAGATGCTCAATAAATGCTGATCAAGAGAATGAATTAAGCAAAGCAAACTTTGAAAAATCGGGCAAGCTAAACATGATGCCATATGCTTTGTAATTTAAACTATGCAGAGGCTGAGGCAACAGGATGGGTTACGCTCAGGATTTCTAGGTCAACCTGGGCAAGATAGTAATATAGTAGGACCCCGCCCAGAAAAAAAATAATGAGATAATATCTGTGCTTTGGGAAGGGTGCTTCTTGCTAGTACACAGACAGTATGTGACTTAAATCTTGCTTGGACACAATATTGCTGATTTTATAAACCATGAAGTTGTAAAATGTTTGTAAAAATTCCAGCCAAAGAATGCTGAAGCCCATTAGGATAGACTATGGCAGGGAGGAACACTTAGGTGTTTCAGTAATCTGTGTTGCTAAATCCTTGGGACCCAGCCAGGTGCTTCTCCACGGCCCCTGATGGTGACTTCTTACCATCCTTTTCCTAGTTTCTTCTCTGGGCCACTTTTGTCCTCTCTGATGCATCAGGCCAGTGAAGATACATGCACTTCTCTCAGTTACACAAAGGATAGCCACATCCAGGCTCTAGATTTTTCTCTGTGTGCATTGATGTTACAATGGTAGCTGGAAATTGGTCATGATGATGGAAATGTTTATGCCACAGAAATAAGCAAATGATATAAATTCAGGGTTTGCAAAAGGAGAGTACTACTTGTCAAACACTTATCAGCACATAAGTACAATTACTTCTGGTATTACAAAGAAATGATAAGACATGTTTCCCAAACCCAAGGAGTTTATAATCTATCTTTGAAAGTATAATAAAATTATATAAATGAAATTAGTGGTGAGATGTTTCAGACTAACTGTGAAGTTCATTAATAGAAAAACATAAGTTCATAAGATGAAACAAGAGCCAATTTACTAAATATATAACATAAATCCAAGGGATTTTATCTACTCTGGATCAACTTATGATTAAAATTGATAAAACAATGGTTAAAATAAGCAATTTATTTTCACTGTGATTTGCTATTAAGAAACAAATTTGAAGCCAGGCATGGTGGTGTGATCCCAGCACTCAGGAGGCTGAGGCAGGAGGACTGCCATGAGTTCGAGGTCAGCCTGGGCTATATAGCCTGAACTACAGAGCAAGGCTTTGACTCAAAAAGAAAAAAAATTAAGAAACAAATCTGACTCCAGTACATCTATTTCTTCATTACTCATTTAAATATTTATATTCAAGGAATATTTATATGATAGGAAATATGACAGCTTCTAAAGACAAAAAGCACATCATTTGGATGTGAAGAAAATGGAACCCACATACATTGTTAGTGAGAATGCAAAATAGTTCAACCACTCTGGGACAGAGTTTGTTAGTTTCTCAACTGCTAAATAAACCTAGTTACTATATGACTTCACATGTACCCTAGAAATATGAAAGTATATATCCAAAAATTTGTATGTGTTTATAGCAGCATTATTCACACAAAAAGAAACAATCCAAATGTCCCACAACCGATGAATAAAATGTGAAATATTCATATAATGGACTGTTATTCACCAAAAAAAGTAATGAGGTATTGATACATGCTATAATATGAAAGGACTTTGTAAACATTATGCTGAGTGGAAAAAGCCAGTCATAAAAAGTTACATATAGTATTGCTACATCCATACTAAATGTACATAATAGGTAAGTCCATAGTAATAGAAAGATTAGTGATTGCCTAGGAATAGAATGTAAGAAGCTCATAGTGACAATGAGGATTAACTGCTAATCAGCACAGGTTTCTTTCTTAAGTGACAGAAATGCTAAAATTAGATTATGGGGATGGTTGCATAGTTGCATACACCACTGGATAGATGCATAAACCACTGGATCATACACATTGAAAGGGTGAATTTAATAGTATGTATATTATGTATTATAAAGTCATTGTTAAAAGTTAATAATATGAAGTATCAGAGTAAGTTCCCCTTTTATATAACTAGTCCTAACATCAAACCTTCCCCAATCTCCACTCAGGTAATCATTTTTAGTTTAGTGTCTTTTTATACTTTCTTCTAGGTATAAAATATACAGTTTTATTTAACATATATGTGTATGTATAAGTAGTATGTTTTAAAAAAATTTTATATCTTGGAGATGAGTTTATATTAGACATAAGCTCTTCAGAGGAAGTGATTTAGTGAGATCTTAGGGATTATAAACACTGTATTTGATGTAATGCAAATAAAACATCATCAAGATATTGGGGGAAAGGCACTGTTGTTATGCAAAAGGACTTCTGCTTGAGTAATTGAACAGGTCTCTATGATGGAATAAATATTTTAAATTATAGAGTTGGAAATTTTCAATTTAAAATGTTTTTGTTAATGTCTTACATAACAATTTATGGGGAGAAAAAGGATTTACTGTAGGACACAGTATTTATTTATTTAGGTTTTTTTTGAGAAAGGGTCTCACTATGTAGTTCAGGCTGGCCTCAAACTCTCAGTGATCCTTTGTCTCTGCCTCCCAAGTGCTGGGATACAGGTGTGCACCACTCACTACACCTGACCCTCTAGTCTTAATAACCAGGACATTTATTTATTTATTTATTTAGAGATAGGGTCTCACTATGTAGTTGAGACTGACCTGGAACTCACTAGGTAGCCCAGGCTGGTCTCAAACTCACAGCGATCCTCCTGCCTCAGCCTCCCCAGTGCTTGGATTACAGGTGTTTGCCATCATGCCCAGGCCACATATTTAAATACAAAAAAGGGAGGGAGATTGGAGAGAAGGTGGCAGCAGCAGCAGTTTTTGTACACTCCTTATATTATTATTACCATAAAAAGACAGAAACTAAAATAGTAAAATGAAAACCTACCAACAACAGGTATAATAAAAAACAGGGATGACCATCCCACAAACTTCAAAATATGAATGGATGAAGACAAATTATAGGCAATCCCAAGATCTGAATAGTGTTAATATTTATAAGAAAGAAAGAGGAGATTAGCAATGGGGTGCCTACTGGACCTGAGAATAGGAGAACCCCTAAATATCCAACAAATATAGGAAAGCACAGTGAACCAAATTTAAAAAAAAATCTGAAATTGAGAAGGGTTTTTAACACTTCCATTCCTGAAGAATGCAAGTAGTCCATTGTAAGGTAGGAGGGGGCCAGAGAAA